ACGTGTCCAGCTGGTGCTGGGCTCTGGGAATTCAGCACAGCACATAGCTCTTGGCCTCAGGTAACTCCAGTTACAGTCACGGTGATGGCTAAGAGAGCAAGTGATAAATGGCAACACGGCAGGGGAACGGGGAGATTCCACATAGTCCAGGAATGGGGGTGGGGGCGCTGAGCAATGTCCAGTGGAAAGTTTCGTGCAGCTTTCAGGAGTGGGGACCAAGCTCGCTCTGTGTGTACCAGGAACCATTGTGGTCTGTCCCCTGGCGCAAAGAACAGGGGCGGCCTTGCAATGAGGCTGCGGTCGAGCACTGGGCCTCTGGCCAGAATCTGGCCTACCAACCTGTGGAGATGTTTAAATTCCATCCTAAGAGCCATGAGGAGCAGCCTCAGGGACCTCATCAATAAGTAAGGTGATGCTATTAGCAATTTGGAAAATCATGCTGGCTGACGGAACCTCCTTTATTTACTGGCTACATTAATAGGATGGAACCAAGGAGGGACAGGAGCGAGCGCAGGTCAGCAACACTCAGAACTCATCACTCCCTGGTGTCAGGGGCTCCAGGGGCTAGGCAGGTACCCAGGTGGCCATCTCCCCATTCCCACCTGACACAACTGCTTGAATGTTCAGCAGGTCTCCACTGGCTTGGGCCTCAGCTTACTGCCTTTGCTACAGAAGGATTCCCTCTGTAGTCACCGTAAGGACAGCTACTAAGGCTGATGGGACATGGGTACCCAGGGAACCTAGCAGCTGTGGCTAGGGGCACTCTGGACAGAGCTCGCACTCACTGTGCCCCTCTACCCTCCTTCTCTGCAGTTCCTGACCCCAGCAGAGCACCATCCTGCCAGCCCTGTCCTGGACCAGGACCAGAAACGCCTGCAGTGGGGCAGAGGGCAGCTGCGGCCAGGGCAGGCAGCAGGAGGAGGAGGGGACGGAGTCAGGCCAGGGCGGGAGCCAGCAACGTGCTCAGGCTGGCCGGGCCAGGGCCCCTTTCTCTCCATGAGATCATATCTGGGTCAAAGAGCATGTAAAGCAGGCAGACCCTGGCGGTCACACAAAGCCCATTCAGCCCGGCCCCTATTCACTCACCCCCTTCTCCCCCAGCGCCCGCGCCGCCACGACCCCAGCACAGCGCCTAAGCCCCAGCTTTGATGTCCAAGAACAGAAAACGGCGATTAAATGTTGTTTTAAAGAGGGAGTGCTCGCTGCCCTCCCATCTGTCAAGAGAAAGCTGAGGCCTGAGGGAGGGGCGGGTACTGGGGGAGGGGCAGGCAGCCACTGGGGGAGGGGCGGGGAGGCCGGGGCCTCTGGGGTGGGGCAGCCGCTCAGAGCCAAACAAATATATTCTGGGCCAAGGATTGTTTGATGAGATAAGAAATATGGGGAGGGGCAAAAGAGTGTAGGACAGACACACAAAGACCAGAAAAAAAAGGAAGAGCCCAGGAGGAGGAGGAAGAGAGGAAGGCAGAGGAGAAAGATGGGGTGAGACGGAGCCCGTGCTTGGAGGGGAGGAAGAAAGAGAGGAAAGAGAAAAGCAGAGGTGGGGAAGGGGCCAGAGGTAGCCAGGGCACTCCCCAGCTTTGCTGCCCCTCCTGGCCTCTTCCTGCAGAGCCCAGAGGCTGCCATTTTAGTCCTCGAGGGGGGCAAAGCAGGGGTCATCCCCACCAACCCACAAGACCCCATAGCCTGCAGTGGGAAGGACCGTGCTGGAGGTCAGGCCTGGGTGCATGCCACGGGTCTGCCACACTGGAGTGACCTGCAGTGGGAGTTACACCGTGTCTCCAGGCCCATCAGCAGGTGCCAGTGACAGGCCCACAATCCTAGCCCCTGGAGGGAGGAAGGGCTGGCTGCAAATCCTCTCCTCCACTGGGCTGTCCCACAGCCCTGCCCACACTCTCTCTGCACCTGTCTTAGCTCCCTCAGCAACAGGTCCAGAGGTCCAGGCTGGGTCTTGACTCACAAAAACTCCCTTATGGAAATATTTCTGGGGCTTGCTTAGCCACTGGGAAGTTGACCAGTGCTTGTTGAGGGTCCTGGGAAAGTATTCCTGGCGTGGAGCATCGGGGGAGCGGACTGGTGGGGGTTGGCATCCAGCTCAGGCTGCTTCCTGCCAGTCAGGAACCTGCGCCTGAGCAGGCAGATACACCCTGGCCAATGCTGGGACTCCAGCCACTGCTTGCTAGCATGTTAGCCCCACAGGACCAGGGCTTGTCTCTGCTACATCTTTGCTGAAATAGTTAGCATATATACACCCTCCCCACCCCACCCCACCACGGCAGTAAGATGACAGATCTTTGTGGAATAAACACTTACCTAGTAGGCTGTTCTGGGCATCAGGGGATAACTCTGTCTTGCATGCTATTTTTAAACTAAAAGGATGATGTCTTATGAAGCAGGCTTGGGCCTTGAATGCCACCTAATAGTAGTAGGCAGGGTGAATGTGAGGGAGTCTACGGAACCCCTCCTCTCTACTGCCCCCAACCCACAGCACAAGCCCCAGGGCCCCAACAGTACACCCCAGAGAATGTAAAGCACTTAAGACAAAAGCACACTTCAAACCAGAGACAACTGAATTAACTTTATTCTCTTCTAACTGCAGATTCAAGGTATACAACTGAACATTGCTATTTTTCTTATGAGACTTATAAATAAAAATACAAAAAATGTTCACTACAAAAAAATCTACTGTTAGTAGGATGTAAAAAATATTCTCTTTGCTATAGAAGGCACAAACTTCACTTAGTGACACATGGAGAGAGAAAAAAACCTGCAGCAGTAAATTCATTTTTTTTTTCTTTAAACCTTTTCAGAAACACGGAAATTACAAAGAAACGCATCAATCTACACAAAACGAAGGCAGATGCGGAAAGCTGCAGCCAGGATCGCACAACTTCGAGTCAACTGTTGCAGGATGTTGCAGGGTAGGGCAAGCATGGCGGGGGGGGGTGGGGCTGGGATGAGAGGGGGAGCAGGAGAACGGAGGGGGGGGCAGGCAGTGCAAAGAGGGGGTGAAAAGGGGAGGGGCGGAAGAAGAGGGAGACAAAGTGGAGGAGAGAAAGATGGAGATAGAGGTTGATTTGTACAAAAAGGAACCAGTAGAATTGAAGAAACAAAAATTGGGCAACCTCCTAAAATTAGGCTAAGAGGAGGTGCTGAGGTAGACATTAACTAGAACATCGATGAATTAAAAACACTATTCTGTAATACAGCGCAATCGGACTGGCACTTGTGCTGTCACGACAGAAGACAAGCCACAGAAACCAACAAAGAACAAGATACCCAGACCAAAAGGCTTAGTTTTGCTTGGTCCAGCAGGGCCACAGGGCCCTCAGTGCTATAATTTACATACATATATTTATATTTATATATATATATATATCTTTATCTTTATCTATAGGGGTCGGATGTCACGGGGTTACCACCACGGTTTCGTGACCTCACAAGGATCATGCATCACACTATGTGAACAAATACTATGATACACCCAGGAGGTGGGGACCGTCTGCCCCACGGGCCAAGGTCTCTGGGCGGGGAGGCTGCTGGCACATACGCCTGTCTCCCACCCTCTCCCCTGACCCAGCCGCCCAGGTTTGTCCTGCACCCCTCTCTTGACCATCACTAGTTGAGTTTGGCTTTTCGTCTCTCACTGAAATCTCTGGGTAAGTGCTGCCACAGCAGTCCAGCCAGCAGGAGTTCCGGGAAGGAGGCAAGGGAACAGACAACTGTAACATGAGCGCAGGGAAAACCAACACGTGGAGTCCCATCTCCTGCCTCTTATCCTGGTGTCTCTGCTTTGCACCCCAGTTGGGGCTTGCTGATACATGGGCCAAAAAGGGAAAACAAACAAACAACAAAAAAACCCCATACCGGGCCACCCCTGATGGACCATTGCTAAGACCGCCTGCACCTATGCCTACCACCCCATCAGGAGATGTGGCTGGGCCCTCTCCTCCTTGCCTGCATTGGTGGTGCTGGCAGTCTTAAGACAGGGGCCAAACACTTGCGAAAACTCACAGCAGGTTCCCCACTGCTCCTTTTTTTTTTTTTTTTTTCCTTTCTCAACATGGAAAAACTCTTCAGGCACAACAAACAATGAAACAAGCCTGCATTGCATCCCTGGATCGTACCAACCACTGGATCTCCCAGCTTCCCCATCACCCCTGGCATCCCATGTCTGCCTTCCCCATACTCACAGCCTCCAAAGCAGCAATGATAGTTACTATTTTATATCTCTCTTGCTATATATATCTCTCTCTATATATATTTGTCTATCCTATATACACATAGGATTTTAATGCTTTGAATGAGTGAAACGGGGAAAAGCACACAAGTGAGGGGTAACTGACCCAAAGTATGAATGGACAGGCATGTGGGAGCCACACATGGGAAGGGCAATATTCACAATTAGGCCTGCCCAAGCTGGAAGTCTGTGCTGGATAAGGCAGTAGCAAGTGGCGGTGGGGCAAGGGGGCAGTCAGTGAAAGGCAGTCAGCTGGCGAGCCAGGCGCAGAGGAAGTGGGGAGGACAGACTCTCAATGCACCTGGGGAGGGGGCATCCTCCACCTGCCAGGGCCTCTCATCTCACTCCAGTGCCACAGACACAGCTACAGCATGAGGATGGTGTCTTTCCCTGTCCCTCCCCCCCCTCCCCGCCCTGGCCAGCAAACCCCTGGCTAACTTTACAACTGTCTTGTCTTTGTGGATAGCCCAAGCTGGAGCCTCCTCGAGGCAGCTAGGGCTTGGCAGGAGTACAGCAGATGATGTGGCAAGAACAGGGGTGTTCCTTGTCCTGCAGCCCTCAGAAACAACCCCTCTTCCATCCAGACCAAGTCTGTGGAGCCCCAAGCAATGGGAGATGCAGGTAGACATGGTACCACCCAATGCTGCATGACCAGACCATGGCATCACATGACTGGACACACATACACACACACGGAGCACATACACAACATGCATACACATCAGAGGGATTTGGGTGGCTTTTTTTTTTTCTGTTTGTTTTCATTCTTGTTTGTCCTATTCACATTACAAAAGGGCCAGGTCCTGTAGCACTGATAGAGGAACTAACGAATATTACAAAAATACTACAATCTTGTAAAGAGTCATTCAATCCTCAGTTTTTGTGAACAGGAACTAGGGCAACCCAGGCTCAGGGAACGGGCTAGGGAGTGAATGGAGGGCCAGACTTGTGAGTTCTATGGAAGAGTTGGACTTTTTTCCCCTTCCCCGTCAATGTTGAATGACATCTTGATGTTGAAAACACTGTTTTCTGGGATTTCCAGATGTCCTGAGGGCCCGCAAAGTGGGGGGGGGGGGACCACAGTGCATAATTTCTTAGGCTGCCTCCTCCCACAGACAATTCTGCTCTTTTCACATCATCAACATGACATGTCTAGTCACGTGCTTTAAGTTTAACTTCTCTTCTTTCCAAAGCACTGTTGTTACCACTGCACGATACAGCAGTCTCCCTGCCCGACCTCTCAAACCCACAAGCCCACCTCCCCCTCACACACGATTTTTAAGGCCTTCCAATTTGGTGGGCAAGATTGAAGGGGTGGACAGGATGGACAGGACCAAGGGATGGGGGAGGGGGTGGCCACAGCTGCACCCATCCCTGCGACTTCCCTGTGTCTTGCACAACCCTTCTCAACACAGCTTCCTAAACCACTTCTTAAAACCTAAGATTCAAACGCAGCCATGACTTTCTCAGAGAGAGAAAGGAGAAAAAAAAACATCACGCAACAAATGTAAAACCTCCTACATATGAAGTGTGAGATGTCACAGAGCATCCATCCCAAAGCCAGCAGGGAGATTGCAACTGCGCTTTCCCCAATTCAGGGAGGGCAGGAATGGGGAGCAGAGCAGCAGGTGGGGAGGCCTGAGGGGGACAAACAGAAGAGGTAGCTTTTGGAGAAACGAAAGCCCCACCCCAACAACAGAACTAAAGCTGGCTCACCCAGAGACCAGCCACCAAGACATTTGCTATGGGCAGTAGCTAGGTACACAGGTGGGCAACCAGCACAGTCCAGCCAAGCGGAGGAAAGCAAGGTGGGACTTTCCTCCACACTGTTTTGGGCTGCACTCTGAGTCTGGGCACTGAAGACTCTGAGCCTGGAAGAGTCCCCAAGGACTCATGAGGCCCCTGGTGACATGGGGGAGGGGGGCGACACTGTTGTCCCCAGGGCTACGCCCCTGGCCAGTCCTCCCATTCAGATCCTGAGCACTCAAACCCTCCTGTGCACAGGGCCTTCCACCTGGGACGCCTTGGCCAGCTGAAACCTAGAAAACCAATTCTTACTTCACTCAAGAAACAGAAAAGGACACCCTCTCTGTTCCTCCAACCCCTAATGAATGGGGAAAAAAAAGAATGAGAGATGGGAGGGCGGTTAGGGGAGAGGCCATGGACAAAGCTCATGAGGTCACAACAAAGTGAGGTAATTCAAGTACAATGTGCTAACAGGGGACACAGAAAAGAAGCAAAACACAACACAAGGCCAAAACACTTTCCACTCCTCCTCTTGCTCCTTCTCCTCCTCCTCCCTGTTGTGGATTGAGGGGCCCTTGAGCTGGGAATTCTGAGCTGCTCTCTGCATCCGGGATTCCCCGCTGGACTCTCTAGGTTGCGCAGGTTCCCAATAAGACCCTCCCATGGGCAGAGTGCCTGATACTGTCTCTGCTCCAGGTACAGGACCCATCTGGAGAAAGACACACACAAGTCTCCCTTGGACAATGAGCCTTTCTTGGCTTGCTTCCCCTGGTAACCGAGGAGGTTTGGAGGGACTCCTTTTGTTTGTGTGGTAAGGAATTAGACACATGGTTGTTAGGTTTTTCCATTCTGGAAGCAAAAGCAGTTTGTAGGGAATCTTGCTCATGACGAAGGGGCTGTTTCATCCATTCTGTGGTGTGTTCTCATAAGCCAAGGGATGAGGCAGCTCCCTGTCCAGGGCACAGGTGAGGCAGGGAGATGCCTCATGCAGTCAGAACCCAGAGGGGCCCAGAGCCATCCCCCCTTCTAACCCAGCACTTGATGGACAGGGATCAAGGGGAGGCAGGAAGCAAGGGGCAAGAATCCCAGGGCTCCTGGAGACTAGGAGGGATCACTCAGGTTTAGCAGGCAGGGGAAGTGAGTGGTGGATGAGAAGGGCACTCGGCCCCTCTCTGATCAGCCCCCAGCAAGCCAGAGCTGCCATCATGAGTGCCCACTGAGGCCCAGCTCTGCCCCACCATCTCAGCACCCCCGGTCTGCTTTCCTTGCTTGCTCTGCAAGGCAGTGGGCTGAGACTGGAGTACCCACCAACTGCCCACCAACCTCTGCTTCTGGACACAAGAAGTGGGTATGGGGAGAGGGAGGCAGAGAGAAGATGTGAGCAAAACCACCCTCATCCCACTGGATCCCACCCAAGAAAGCCAGGGTCCCCCCTGCCAGGGAAGGGCATTGGCATGGTGTCCAGGGCAGCCAAAGCCCTAGAGAGAACCCAAGGCTAAACAGCTGTTTGATTTCTTTCTTGTCTCTCCATTTTTTTTCTTCTTTTTTGTTTTTGTTTTTATCTTTGTGCACAGTCCTTCCTCCATGTCCTCTCCCTCTCCTGCTTCCCCCCCTGGCTCCGGCCCCTGCTTCACGGCCTCCACGGCAGCAGGGGGTGCCTCTTCACACATAGCACAGATAGAGGTATGTCTTCTCTATCCTCCAGTCGGGTGGGATCTCCTCAGGCTTGTGGCCCTTCATGTGCTTCTGCATGGAGGAGAGGCTGGGGCAGTACTCGGTGCAGATGGTGCACTGGTAGGGCGAGGCGCCGTTGTGGGTCCGCAGGTGCTTGATCATGGCCGAGTAGTCCCGCGAGCGCTGGTGGCACAGCTTACACTCAAAGGGCTTTTCACCTGCGAGACAAGGGCAGGACAGCGCGGGAGAGGTGAGGTACCAGGAGCAGCGGGACATGGGCCTTTGTGCTGGGGGTCCCGAGGCTACAGCTCAGTTACAGAAATGCTCAGCAGGGCGCTGGCTGCCTGTTGTGCTGTTCTGACTGTGAGGTCTCTATCCTTCCAAAGAAATAGATGCCTTTGCCTGACCTGGAGGGTGGGGTCCTCTCAGCACCATTGGAGGCAGGGGCAGGAGGAAATGGAGCGATGGTCTTTCCAACACTCTCTCTGGGGCACAGTTCCATTTACACACTAAGACCCTGCCCCAGACCCTCCTCCTGTGTTTCCCCCACTGTGTTAAGCATCAGCAGAGAGCACAGGGAAGGCAGCAATGCACAGCCACATCCTGGCCTGCTCTCCACCATCCCCTGGAGCTGAGCAGAGCATGTAAGGGAACCTTGTTTCAATACAGTAATTAACTGGCCAGCCATCTCGTTATCGATACTCCTCCGTGCGGAGGCCCCAGCAAATAATGAAGTAATGAACAGCCAAAGTGATCTAACTATCGACCGGCTATTTACAATAGTCACTGCCGATGCACTTAATGATCCGTCTGCCAGGTCATATCCCCAACAAGGGGCTGAGGAAACCCCAGGGTCCAGGGAAATCCTCCAGGTCACTTGTCAGCAATGAGCACCCTGTCCCCAGCTTATAGCAACAGCCCTGATATCATGCAACCCTCCTCTCCTGGGGGAACACGAAGGCAGCAGGACCTGCCTAGGGTTATGGCACGGGCCGGTGGACCTCCCCTGTCCAGTTACCCGACTTTCCATCCTCAGTGGAAGTTCCTCTGTCTAGCTGCCATCCTTACGCCCAGCAATGGTCAGCATTTACCAACTGGCTCTCCACAGGCCCTGCCTTACAGCACTGGCCAATTGCTTTTTGCAAATACTCCCACCAACCAAGCTGATTTTAAGCAGCCTGGGATGCAGGGACAAGGAAGAAGTCACAAAACTCTAAAGCTGGGAAGAGATGTGCCAAATAGGTTTTCGCCAACCAACTCTGGGACCTACTGCTCTCAACTTGGGACCTTCCAGAAGTCTGAGCCACTTGTTTTGTTCTCAGACCCTGAGGGGAAGAGTAGATTACCTGTACTTTCACATAAAGACTGAAAAAGTGCTTTGCAAAGGGAAAACCTTATGCACAGAGAGGCCGATGCAATGCATCTGTCCCCCCAGCTCAGATGCCAACTGCATCCAACCTGACGACTTCCCCCACCCTCATCATGATCTAATTCAATTTACCCGAGCTCTTACTCGGTCCCTTGAGTAACACAAGACTGTACTAACCATCTTTGTCAGTTCATCAGGCCAACTTCACTCTAACACAGGACCCCAAGTAGATGCCACCCTGCCAGTCATGTCTGTACTACTGGTGTGGCTGCCTAGAGGGCTGGTCTGGCTTCTGGGAGAGTCTGTTCTGATTGATTATTGATGCCTGCCCTGGCCAGGAGAGGGACTCAGGAGCACTAGGGCCACCATGCTAGCGTATAATGAAATCCCTCTGGTCACGGGGCCAGCCTCTCTTGGGAATCCCTGGGCACCCATCCACTCCTCACCCCCACCCAGCTGCAGAAGCAATGCAGGTATCATTCAGCACCCATGGTACCTGTGTGCACCCTGTAGTGCGTCTCCAGCTGGTGCTTGAGGCTGAACTTCTTGCCACAGCCATTGCACTCGTAGGGCTTCTCACCCGTGTGGATGCGCTTGTGGCTCTTAAGCGTGCTCTCGTCCCGGAAGCAGCTGCCACAGAACTCACACTCGTATGGGTGGTCGCCTGTGCAAACAGGAGATGAGTCAGGTCCTGGGCTCTCCAGACCCCCTGTGCAGGAGGTGAGACTGTCTATACGCACCTCATTTAAGTATCCTCAGCCGCTGTCTCTGCCCTCCCACCAGCATAAAGAGGGGGTGTCTGTGTCCCAGCTGTCATTCAGATGGAAAAGGCCAGTCCCCAGAGAAGAGAGCCTGTTTGGTTCAGGGATGAACAGCAGCCCCAGAGAGCAGCTGCCTGCGGAGGGTAGAGCCAACCTAGCAGGTGCTGAGGTGCTGAGAGCCTGCACCTTGCACGTCCCCTTTCCTTTTGTTGTTGGTTGAGGACAAGAGCCAGTGCAATCTGATCGCTCCTCTTCAAACAAACTCTAATTTTTTGGGGGGTGTTCTTATTGTCTCCCACATTCTCTCCTCTTCCCAGTTAAAGCTGTTCTCTCTGATTTCCTCTTACTTCCCCAAGGAACACCTAATCGCCCCTCAACACGCAGCTTATTTCACACCCTTGTTTGGAAGCTTCTGTTTAAAACTCCCACACAGAACATGTCACAATTGCTGCTCTGTCCCAGGAGAAAAGATGTGGCCAGCATCATCTCCTTCATGTCCAGGACACTTTTTTGTGTGTGTGTGTGAAAATGGCCTCTATATGTTGAGCACTCACCAGTGCTCTGAGTACATCACACAGTCTGTGTCCCACAAATGTGGTGGTGACCTTCAAGAAGAATATCATTTTCACTTTACAGATGAGAAAAATGAGGTGTTCGGAGGTGCTCAGCTGCCACCTGCTGGGTCAGGCAGCTCTCTAGTGCTGCTGGGGTACTCTAAGTCTGGCCCCCCAGATTCCTGTCAGGTTGTGAGCTGACTTGTCCACCACACTGCTGTCGCGTAAGAAGGGGGCTTTCTCTAATCCTTGTCACAGAGCCCAAGGATGACCCGGAACACACTCTCAGAAAGTTCCCAGAAGATGGAAACCACGGAGAAAGTCACAGCAAATACATGTTTATCAAACAGTACACTGGATGTCAAAAATATTTTACCCTGAAATAGACAGATATTTTCATTCCACTTGTCCAGGAACTTGGTGAAGGGCCCTCCTACGTGAAACAGGGAGGTGTGGGAAAGAACTGCCTTGACTCAGCCCAGAACCTGTGCCTGCCTGCCTCCACACGAAGGACATCATATGCCCACCCACCCCATCTGTGCAGAGGGGCTGGGCTGTGGGGACAACCACCTTGTATTTTTGTTCCCAAAGTCGGGGGTTTGGAAGAGGAAAGGTGAGAACTTCAGCTACTTATTTATTACAGGAGTGAAGGCACAGACAATAAAGATAGATTGATCACCCCAGACTTTGTTCATGAATATTTAAATATCGCTGATTCGTCTTGTCACTGTAATTACAATTTCTCTGGGCTGCATCTCCAACAACCACAGTTTATGGTAAAGAATGGCCCACTGTATTTCACTTGTCCCTCTGCAGATGTGCGGGGCTGCCAACCGTGTAATGTCCTCTGCATTTCATACATTTTCTTCAGCCGCTGAGGTTTAAGTCATCCACAATGACCTACGTTTTTTCATTATCCTCATGTCAAACTGCGCTCGTGCCTGGGCATAAATTGTCCCTCTCGTTATAGACTCGCATGCCTGTGCCTTCACTTCCTCTTGAAAATGATATTTTACTCTCTGTCCTCTCTCCCTTCCTCAGGCTGCTAACCAAACCTGCCTCTTCTCCAGTGTAGACCCCTGTACCCACATAAATTCTCTCCTCCCCTGATGGCTCTGAAGGGTTTTTAAGGCTCTATGGGGAGCAGATGCTGGGGTCTGTTCTCAGCTGACTCTCATGGGTGGACGATCTGCAAGAAGCAGTGAGAGCATGAAAGCGGGGCCAATTCCACCAAGGGATTGGATGAGAGAAGCTCAAAAAGCAAAGCTAGCCTTGAAGCCAGGGTTTGGGTCCATCTGCTCTGTCAAGCACTGCCCTGGCTCTGCAGATGTGGGAGTGAACCGAGTCCTCCAGTGGTCTCCCGGGACAACCCGCACCCACCTGGCCTCTTGCTGTCAGGGCCTGCATGAATTGCCTAGGCCTCAGCCCCACTAAAACCAAGGGGACTGGAGATCTGTGCTGACCTCGGTACTACTGCTCCATCCATGACAGTGGGAGTCAGCCTGGGGCTACATGTGCCTGCATGCCACTCTTCTCCCGCATCAGCACACATGGCCTCGTCTGGGCTGACATCCCACTCCCCCTCCTTCCTGAATAGGCAACGATTACGACTTTAATCAAAGATTCAGTATCCTCATTAAGATATAAATAAATAAATAAAACCAGGGCCACGTGAGACCTCAGCCAGAGCCGGTAATTAAAACGTACATCGGCAGTCTCCCCGGCCCGAGGGGGGGGGGAGGCGGCCACCTGTGCCTTTCCCCTCCGGAGAGAGGCCCTGAGAGTTTGAGAAACAAAGGGTACAACGGAGGGGTGTGTTTGATCAGATTTTTATGAATTTAATTATGAAGTGGATCACATGTTAAATGAGTTTAAATAATCTCCTGAGTCCACTCTGGGAAAGCAACAAAAAGAACTTACAGGGAGCAAAGAAAAACGTCACCACTGTCTCCTTTCTCACATACTCTACAGCAAGGCCAGCACCTGGTCTGAAATCCCCACCCTGAGTTAATCGGGTCAGTGTCGCCACAGTGTACACAAAACTGGCTGCAGAACTCAAAATCCAATTTGTGGTATGTTGATTAACTCTGGAGCCTCTTTAATGAGCTTGACATTAAGTGCAGGACAAACGAGACTAATTAGGGCCCCTCTGGCCAGCCCAGTGCACCTGCGACCCCTCCCCACCCCCTGGGCTGTACTCACCTGGAGGCTCCCCTGCCACTGGCAGGGCTGGGAGGTGTCCTTTACACCCCAGTCCCAGCCTCTTAGCTCCTCAGGCCGCCCCCCTCCGGCTCCACCTTCCACACAGCTGAGAGTTTATTATATGACAAGCCCTGTGAATCAGGGATCCATCAATGCCAAGTGCACGGCTGGACTAACCTACCAAACACAGCTGCTGATACTAAACACCCGGCCCCGGCAGCAAATGGGCCAAGAACAACGGAAATTAATGAGGCATTGTGTGCAGGGTGTGCACAGCCTGTACATGGCTTGTGCATACCGTGCCTCATTGGTGTGAAAATCGATGTCTGTACTTCCTAGAATAAGCAAGTTCCCAAACTCTGGAAACAGCCCCTCCCAACAGATTGGAGAAGAGCTAACACTCAGGTTCTGAGTCCTTAGGAGGGGGCCTGGGCAAAGCAGTGTATATCTGGGGTGGACTTAGCAGAGTAAGAATTATTCAGATCACTTGAAACCAAGACACCTGACCCGGTAGCAAGCTCAGAAGTAACCAAGAGTTGACTGACATCTCTCATAACACTGGACATGGGGACCCACGGAGGAAGGCAGTGGCAGGGATGCTTAACACAGTTGGGTGTTTACGGACAAAAGCCTTGGCTACATCCCTTTCAGATTGGGCACTACCCTCTTTAACCTCCCCTTATCCTGACCTAGCGGTTTCAAGTAGTTCTGAGTAAATCTGGATAGGATGGCATTGGGGATTGAGAACCCAGGCCTGGAATAAATACAGCTGTTATGGACATGTACGGATTCAGGGTGGACATCTGATCTCACTGTGGCAGAAGCAGGTGGGTCTGGTGGGAAGTGGTTAGGTCACTGGGGGTGTGTCCTTGGAGGATAGTTCTCATGAGAGAATTGAGACTTATCTAGGTTCTCTCTCTATCCTGGATCCCCATGTGATTGTGCCTCTGCGTTTGCCATGACCAGTGTCTATAGGAAGCCAGGCTAGGAGGCCACTCAATCTCCATCATCTCCAAACTGAGCCAAAACAAACCTCTTCTTTCCCAAAGAAGCTCCTCCTGGGTATGTCAGTAAAATAACAACAAGCAGACTAATACAAAAGGCCTCCTTGTTCAGGAAAGCCTGCCTCCCATACAAAGTCTTGACTCATGTACAAACCCTCTGCAACAGACAAGGGCATACATTTACTCTGTTATGTATCTGGAGAGGGACCTGACCTTCGCCTCTCTCACATGCAGCATCGGACAACACAGCAGACACTCACGGGCACTGCTATCTGGGTACAGAGAAGACTCAATTTTGTCTTAGAGGAAATAAGAGATTTCAGTCATCCATGGTTGTGCTAGGGACAGGCCAGAAGGTGCTGCAAGGAAGAAAATACCTCTGGGGCCCCAGGGACCAAGTGACCCATCCCACAAAGTAGAGGCTTCATGGCAGGGATTACCTAGCAATCGGGCATCTGGCACAGCCTTCTTGACCCACACAACCTCTTGCTCACCCCATCTTGTGGAACTGTGTGGCCAGCACTGTTTCATGGCTCACTAAGGAGATGCCTTCATCATCCTTGCTCAGCAAGGTGAAGGTCCAAGGACAAACTCTCTGTTACTATGCAGAACATGGGAGCACTTCCTTAACACCTGCTCGAGAGCCCGAGGCTTTGGGAGTGTGTGTGTGTGTGTGTGTGTGTGTGTGTGTGCAGTGGGGAGACCTGGTTGATCAGTTTTCCTCAAGATGCATTGTAAGTGCACTTGCATCAGAATCCTGGGGGAATACTCGCTAAAAAGCCTGACATTCCTGAGGGTTGACATTGTGACATGCAGGTTAAGCTGCTGCTTGTAACACAACATCCCACATTCAAGCACCACTTCAAGTCCCAGCTGTTTCTCCTCCAATCCAGCTCCCTGCTCATGTACCTGCGAAGGCACTAGATGATGGTTCAAGTTCTTGGAACCATTGCCTCCCACATGGGAGACTCAGACAGAGTTCCTAGCTCCTGGTTTTCATCCAGTCAAGCCCTGGAGATTGCAGTCACTTGGGAGTACACCAACAAATGTAAAATCTCTCTCTCTCTTTTTCCTCTGTGTATGTGTGTGTGTTCCTTGCTCTGCGGTCCTATTAAATACATAAGTAAATCTATCATTAGTAAAACACCGAAGTTTCTGAAGCTGGTACATAACAAACATCCTCCATGTTAAGAATGGAGAGCTCAAGAGGCAATGGGGAGAACATCTAGCATCTTCCTGAATTATAGGAAGCCCCCACATGTATCACCCTTGGACAGGGAGGAGTTGAGGGTTACTCAGTCTGCCCTCTTCACCTTACATCTTTGGACATAAACGTTAGCTTCCAGAGACCTACCCACTCATCCTCCAACCATGTGCACGGACCTACCTGTATGTGAGCGCAGGTGGCGCTTGAGGGCCGTGTGGCTGGGGAAGGTGCGGTTGCACTCACTGCAGATGTAGCTGCGCACGCCCGCATGGACCTCCATGTGCTGCTGGAGCGCGCTCTGTGCCTGGAAGCGCTTGCCACACAGCAGACAGAAGACAGCCATGTCTGTGCCTGTGCAGAGAACAGAGGGGAGAGTCTCAGGAAGTGGGAACACAGGCCATTCTCCACCCACGCAGATGACAACACATATCAGGCTCAGGATTAGCACCCTCGGATACCCAGACTCAGCAGCAAACCCAGAGGCAGCCTGGACCACACAATGCTGACTGAGTCACTCATGTGGAGCTGGGGGCATACAGAGGCGACAATGGTCCGATGGTACCTAAAGTAGTCCAGTGGGGTGTTAAGCCAACATCTCTTTCGCAGCAGTGAACGAGCATCTGCAGTCGAGTTGGGTGCTGTGGAGGGTGGGGTACTAAGGACACAGCCCAGAGGGACTTTGCAGGGTGCAGGAGTGGAGGAGGAATAGCAATAAGGAAGATGAAAGAGCCATCATTGCAACATAATTCATATTAGTCCATGACTCCAAAATATAGGCAAATACACCTCACCCTTCAGGTAAAAAAGCCGAAGCACAAAGCAGTCAAGTAAAGTGTACAATATTCCAGTTTTTAAGTGGAAGTTTGCTGACTTCCAGAGCCAGTAGCCTGGATCTGAATCCTTTCCATAGATCAGCTTCAGACCCTGGACTTTTACTTCTCTGTCAGTAAGAATCTGTAAGGTCGTTTTAGTCAACAGATTCACATGTTATTTTGGTCCCTTTTACCAGCAGGAAACTTTCTTTGGCTGTTCTGACCCATAGCCTTTTAGGCTACAACACCACAGGAGCTCAAGTCCAAGCTTGTAGCTTCTGGCTCACTATTTTGGGATTAATTTCCCAAATAGGGACACATTTACTCCTCCTGAAGACCATCCGTATGTTTTTGCTTGTTGGCATCTGGAATAGGTCACCTGTGCTCAGCCTTACCCAGCCAATCCCTTGGGGAGAGAGACAGAAAAGGTGGGGGCAGGCAGACCTAGCCCAAAGCACAATGGGGGACACAGTCTGGGTTGCTGGTTGCTGTGTGGTAGATGGGTGTAGAATTGGGGAACTTATGGTAACAGGTGGATGTGAAGAGTGGACTGCCTGATGAACCAACCTTCCCAGCCCAGCAAGGGAGACAGGCAATGGGAGGGCTGGGTCTCATCACTTCAGGTCCATTTGTGGCTGAGCTTGGGAGGTACTAGTGGGAAGATGAGCATGGTCTCTCCCCTATCCCTCGCCTTAACCCACAGATCTCCCCTTGCAGACACGGAAGCCTAGGCCCCTGGTGCCATGCTCCCACCACCAGCAGTCAGCAAGGCTTATAAGCAAGTGATGAGGAGCACAAGTGAACACAGAATTTTGCTCCTGACCCTCAAAGAGCAGAAGGGAAAGGAAGCCAATACAGGTACTGCACTAGGCACTATAGTGCCATCCCATTTATTTCTTCTGAATATACCAGACATGCATTTTCATCCCCCTTTCTTAAAAATGGGAAAGGAGAAACCAAGTAACTCATCTAAAAGCCACCCAGTCTACAAAGGGGACCGAATTGGGATGTGGAAATAACTTGGTCGTCTGCTTCTAGACACCATGGGGTTGAGCCCAATTGTGTTTCAGGACTGGTCACCTGTTTGTCTGGGCCTGCCTGGGAAGAGACACAGGCTTGAAAACAAAAGGTACCAGTGTGTCCAGGGCTTCTTCCAGCAATGGCTCTGGAGTCTTGGACCAGGAAGTGGGGATCACAAAGCACAGTCCTCTGAAACTTTTAAATCCTCCTGAAATCCAGAAAGATTTCTGAGAGGTAGTGTTAATGGAACTAAGGCCACAGAGGTACTGGGCGTTGCTAGGGTCTGAAGCCAGTGTCCCTCCAAAGAGGCAGGTACAGACAGGCTAACTCCCAAAGTGATGGTATAAACAGAGGGGCCTTTGGCAGTGCTTTGGTCATGAGGGTGGCACCCTCATGATCGAGACTAGTGCACTTGTGAAAAAGGACTCCAGGGAGCTCCCTTGCCCCTTCCACCACAGGAAGACACTCCAAGAAGTTGGAACCTGTAACTAGGAAGAAGGTCCTCCACCAGCACCTGCTCAGGCTCACCCTGATCTCAGCCTTCCTAGCCTGTAGACCTTCAAGGAACATCTCTGTGGTGCACAAGCCACAGACAACTGCTTGTGGTCAGTTATCAGACAAGTGTGGTGCTAGCGTAATGCAGCCTGTGCTGGAGGGCAGGGTCTCTAGCATAACACGGGGAGATGAAGGGCTGTGGCAAAGGGCTGGAAACAAGAGGGCTGATGGCTCCTGGGCTGCCACCAGAAGAGGCTGCAGCAGGAGTTGTGAGGACAGGAAGAAGGATGGAGAAACAAAATTCCAGGAAGATAGTACGACAGCCAGGGACTGAACCTGAATAGGGAAGACTGCACACAGGAAGTCCCAAGACGCCAGCTCTGAATCTTACAGAGTTCAAGGTTCATCAGCTGGGAAGGAAATTTGGCAGTGTCTTTATGGTGCCTTTCTCCCCTTCCCAGGACACCCCACATAATGGTATGGGCTCTCCCAAGTGGTTGATCCACCAAGCCGGTTATAGGAAGTAAGGGGCTTCAGAGACCCTAATCCCCATTCCCCAGTCATCTTCTCGGAGACCACAGCTGTGATGATGGGAAAGAAAAAAAAAAAAAAGAAAAACAGGCAAAGGCAGAGAACTGGATGCAACATAAGAAAAGCTACTGGTGCATGCAAGTTAAAAATCTAGACACTAGATGTGAGTTATTAAACAATTTGCTGTCGTTTCTGCCTAGCTGATTGTTCGCATGTATGATGAGTCAGGGCAGATTCTATTACTCTGGGAGATTAAGCAAATAAATGCTAGCTTTTGGAAACACATTAAAATGTGGGACTATGGAAATAAAATTATCTAGAAAATTGTATTAGCAATTCATTAGCTGCAGTGAGCTGTGCAGTGGGGCTGGGGCCCAGCAGCGTTCAAGCATTCTGCTTCCTTTTGGTGCAGGAGTTTAGTGTTCCCTGATGGAGTTGTGCCACCTGCTGCCACTGGGGAAGCAGTGGGTCTCCACAAGGATGAAGGGAACGTTCAGAAGCCCTGTGGGCAGCTGACACAAGACAACGGAAGAAGGACGGGACAGGGGTCCCTGCTCAGCTGCTTTCCTTGCTTTGTGACCCTGAGCATCTCACCTAAGGTGTCTGCCTCAGTGTGCGCACCATTTTCCGTACTGCCTGTGATCCCAGCAAACATCCAATGCAATACCCACGTGAAAAAGCTTTATAACACAATGCGACTGTAGAGCCAGTGCCAGCCCACATGCTGCCTCTGTCTGAACTAGACAATCACGATTCTTCCTCAGAGCACACAGGCCTTGAGTTCTAGCGAGTATGAGGAGGACTGGGTCTCAGTCTGCTTTCCCCTTGGTTGGGAACCTTCGCACAGTGCACAACCTGAATCACGAATCATGGCAGCTGTGCAAGATACAGACACCCCCTCTCTTTTACTAACTCTGAGGTTTCTTCTTCCAAGAAACAGACCTGGAAGAAGGCTTCTTGGATGACTTAGATCCTTAAGGACTCAATGCCAAAGGCATCGTCCTGCCCTCAGATCTCAATGCCACAGTGTACAAAACTCATCACTGCATTTATTTTTGACATTCAGCTCTGCCTACCAGACTGCAAGCCTCCAAAGTGAGAACTATTCTATTCATCTTTATATCCTCCAAGACGTAGCGCAGGGCCTGACACACAGCTGGTACTAGAGAACTGCATGTTGCATTAAACAATCAATTGGGAAGTATGCTGGAGCTTTGGAGCAGTGGGTTAAGCCACTACCTGTAACTCAGCATCCCATATGGGCACCAATACAGGCTCCAGTTGCTCCAACTCCAATCCAGCTCCTTAGTAAGGCACCTGGAAAAGCAGTGGGAGATGGTACAGGTGTTTAGAATTCTGCCACTAACATGAGAGACCTGGATGAAGTTTCTGGCTTCAGAAACCAATGGCTCATATACTTGCCAATGCAGGTATCTGGGGGGAGTGACTCTAACGCTAACTTTCAAATAAAGAAATATTTTTTAAAAAAATCAATAAGGGCTGGGGGATGATCACAAAGAAAGGATGAGTCACAGCACAGACAGACAGCAAAGGCACAGGCCAAAGCTGGTCCAGTAAGCCACCAGCAAGACCCTTTGCTCCCATCAGTAACACCAAGTGACCTGGAGGCAGCTGATCCCAGTGGAGTGGGGACTCTCTCGTTCATCTGGTGGGCAGAACATGGCTCCTCAGCTCTCACTCCAGGTCAGCAAAGACTCAGAGCACAGTGTGACAGTCAGAAAACCCCAGTTCTGGCTAGGGAATGCAGACCCTGGTGGCTCTGCACTTAAGGGCCAGCTGGCTATTGTCCTTGACCTCAGGTTCTTCGTTAAGAAGGTAGATTTCGATCAGTCTCTTATTTAAGTGTATCCTGACATTGCTGGTACAGACAATGTCACAGTCCAGCATCCCATTGTTTACACATGTCCAACAGTTTCACTGGGAATCCATATTTCGTCTGGATGCAGAGATGCATGTTCCATTGTACCCCCATTTGTATATGATAGACCCCAGTACTCCATCACTATACATTACCATAAGTGAGAAGCCATGTAACAAGGTCAACAATCAGGATTATGGTTCCTTATGAAGGACTACACTACTGTAACAAAATGGGAAAATATGATGGGGGTGGTAGTTTGGTGTGTGGGGGGGATCCCAGCCTATCCAAAAATATACCACATAATTCAAAATTCAAAATATTTAAAAATTTTACAAAAGGAAAAAAAAGAAGGTAGATTTCTAGCTAAACTGCCCTTTCCAACATGAACTTCAGAGCACTATTATGAGACAACAGATATTTTAGAGCATGTAAGTCCTACACATGTATTGTTTTCTACTCATCTGTAAATTTCCATGTAAATCAGATAGTTAAATCACCTACACACCATGAAGCAGGTCAAAGAATTAGCATCTCCCGGGCTCTGGTTAAGAGTGAACTGGGCTCAGCCTCAGCCTGGCAGCCCAGCCTGTAAGCCAGAAGGTGATCTGAAG